TGATATTGAGAAGAATGACCAGACGCCTGCATTGGGATGGATGGAGATAATTGTTTTCGGTGCGAGTATTTCATTTTCGCTATTCTGCTGGAGTTAATTATTCAACGGCATTCGTCTGTTTGCGCCCCTACCTTACCTTCGTCGTCATCATCATCGTCATCATCATCGTCATCGTCACTATTGTCAAAGTTATCTTCGTCATTATGGTCGTCATCATTGTCGTCATCATCGTTAATACCATACCATCATCATCCACATCATCATCATCATTGTGATATGAGGTGATTAACATGCAGTGGAACGACAGTTGAGACGTGTGGCTATTGTTGGCAAAAAAAATTCCAAAGCTTAGAAGAGTTTAATTGCAGGTGGGATTAATGAAGGAACAAACTTTGATTATCAAATGTAAAATTTTTATTTTTTTATCATTGTTATCAGCACATACATCCACAAATTTGATATAGTATCACCATCATCATCATCAGCAATATTATCTTAGACGCTTTTATCATACTTTCAACACTTCCAATCATTACCATTGCCATTTATTGGTTTTATCATCTTCGTTGCCATCTTCATTTTCATCATCTTTCGTCATCACCATTCAAAATAACCATTTTTACTTTTTTTAAGTATCCACTATCGTTTCGTATCATATCGGATCGTATCGGATCGTATCGTATCGTACCGAATCGTATTCCCACTTGTTCATTAGATGTCTCCAATGAATAAATCTCACGCCTCTCTCCTTTCAATGAATTGGTAAACTTTAAAAATGGCATTTTAAAAGTTTTTTTTTGGCACTCCAATTTGTGATCACTGTTGGATGAGAATTACTAATACGACAACAACCATTTTTGGAGTACTAAGATTGAGTTGAACAAACAAATGCTAGCTTCATGTTATCACACATTATACTATCTTTCATGTACCATTAGAGGTAATAGCAATGCATGGGACAAGCACAACTGTCCTGAAACATGCAGTAGTAAAAGTAGTAGTAGTAGTAGTATTACTACAACCGCTATTATGACTCCTACTAGCAGCTACTCTAGTGCTACTACTACTACTACTACCACCACCACCATTACCACCACCACCACTACTACTACCATTACTACCACTACTACTACTACTACTATTACTACTACTACTACAAATATCAATAATAGTTGTAGTAGTGGTAGTAATTGCTTCTAAGTTTCGCGCCTTAAGTAATAGCTAAACGAATGTTGTAGGCGAAAATTTGGCGGCGAACAGAGGAAGCGATGATGACGTCATTAATGTTAATGAGGCTTTTGAAATGCAGTGACGCTGGTAGACATGATGGGGATGGGATGATGAAGATGGAGAGGAGGAGGAGGATGTCGAAGATGACGACGATGATGATTACGAAGATGGTAAAAATGATGACAACGACGATGACGATGATGATGACAATGATGATGACGACGATGACGATGATGGTGATGATAACGAAGATGATTACAAAAATTGTTAGTAGGCTGTTGAAGCGGACGTTACGTTAATGGCGCGAAAATGACTTGAAACGAGATTTTGTTCCAAATGTCCCCATCGTACAATGCTCATTCATTTACCGTCGTAACACTTTTAGTGTTACACAAAATTTTTGTTGTATGTAGTGGTTGCTTTCTTTTTGTTTCTTGTTTGGTTATTTTGAATGTATTGTAGTTGCTTTTTTAATGTTTTCGTGTTTTGCTGGTTTATTTTTTTGTTTTTGATTTATACGGTTGTCTGTTATTGTTTACATTGTCGTTTATAAAAAAAAAACTTGTTAGTGTAATATATTTTTTCTTTTTTTACTAATTTTAATTTCTCCACCCACCTCATGGTGTGATTATACTGTAGCAAAAACTCTTCTTTTAATTGTTGTTTCTTTGTTTTTATGGTAATTTACTTTTGGGTTTTATTTTCGTTTTAGTGTTGTTTAGCAGTCACATTGTTGTTGTTGTTGTTGTTGTTAATATTGTTGCCGTAATCGTTATTGTTTTTGTGGTTGTTTGGTTGTTAATAAAAATCTTTTAAAAGAACGTAAAAAAAACATTTTCTCCGCTCAAAACGTGTTGTTTCGATGAAAATTTCAATTACAAAGTGTCATGTCGAATGAGGAGCCTGGCACCTTGAAATAAATTACATTTTTTTATTTTATTACGAACTTCGAGAAAAATATTTTTTTCTAGATGTGCTATATATATTTCTAAAAACATTTAATGTCTTTACGGCGATGTTTCGCATGAAAATTTTATGATAAATTTTTGGTCAATTTTTACTATTGTTGTCTAGTAGTTCCTTTTTAATTTTAAATTATTATTTTCTGTTCAAGTTTTGATTAATTTCATATAATCTGTGTATATATATTTTACAAATTACAAATAATTTTTAATATAACTCACAAAAAAAGAATTTTACAATTATTTATTTTATTTCTGTTTTATATTTTTCCAGCCAATGACCTCAATTAACATCCTCAACACAAGGACCACACCCTTGTGCAAATCAACCCACACGTACAGCAACATTTTATGTCCTCACCAAAATTACGGCCTATCAAACAGCTATGATTGTAAGAAAGTTTTTTTGTGTAAATTTGTAATAAAAGAATTGAAATATATACATATATTCATATACTATAATTTAATATTTTTTTATTTTTATGAAGAATGATTTTTAAATATTCATATATTGTTATAACCACGGAAGTGATCAAAGTGCCCTGCGTTATTTATTATTTTTGTCATTATTTATTATTATTTATTATTTGTCATTATAAATTGTTGTCTTTGTTGTCTTTGCAATATTTGTACTCTTTTGGTTGTAAAATCGGCTACAAATACGTCTTACCTAGTGGGACTCAGCAGTCGGGGTTTACAAGTGAGGTTTCCAGAAGAGAAAGCGAAGTCAAAAATGTGATTTATGTAGTTACTTGGATTAGTTTGATGTTTCTATTACAGTTGGTATTCAAATAAACCTTCAACCAAGTTTGCGTTTGAAGCAGTTTTGTTCATCTATCGGAAATCTTGAACCTACGAAAATAACAAAAACACGAGACGATCGTTGGAAGCTACAACACTGGTGAGTTGGAAATATAGAGATCATTGAAGTTATAACATCGGTGTTGGTAGTCACGAAGTCAAGGGTTACAACAGTATTTTTATTATTTTATCGAAATGACAAAATTGTTTTATTTTCTAAAATTTACCAAAACATTTAAAAAAGAAGCTCACTTTGAAATGAAAAATGCTAAAAAGCACCTCCCATAAGATAAAATAATTTTGCTAATACATTACTTTTATTTAAATCATGAATTAAATAATATTTTTATTAAACTCACATATACTGTTTTTATTTATTTTATTATATTAGCATTTCATTTTATATTTTATTTCATTTCGTTAAATTAAAACTCTTCTGCATTGAAATAAGATTTATAGTCTCAATCATTTTAAATAATGAAATAAGTGAAAACGCATTATCATGGCCATTAACATTAGAACATTAGATAGGAAAGAAAAAATCCATAATTTATAACTTTTCACAACTACAAAAACAACATCAAAAACATCATAAATGACGTCATCAACAACAACAATAGCATCAATAACATCACTAAAAACCACAAAACAACAATAGCAATGATGTCATTATTAATAAAAATAACAACACTAACAATTATATTAACAACAGCAGCAAAATATGAGCAATAAGACAACTGCATAAAAACATACAAATACAGCAATAACATCAACAGCAACAACAACAAGAACGGCAATAATGACAACGACGTATTCAAAATTACTTTTTCGTCACAAAACATTCTCGCAAACTCATTAGCTTGCAATACTAAACCTGACTAAAAAATTTTTCAAGTTTCAGTAAAAATCAGAAAAATCCTACATGTTTTTTGGTCGAGACTGTGATTGCTTTAATTATTCTTTAAAATTTTTCCAAAGAACATCTCCCAGGCATAATTTATTCATAAATTATTCCGACTGGTTTTCTTTTCTTTTTTCTTCTTATTATTATTATTTTAATTCTTTTTTTAAAAGCTTGAATAATAAAAATAATGAAAATATATGATTGACGTCATCTATCAAAAACCATCAATAGTAATTTATTAAAATTCTCTTATTTTCAAATTTAATTTTTGAAATTTTTTTTGCAAAACTCATTAAAATTTTTTTTACGTAAACCAACATTCATCTTGATATTAAAAAAATGGTTTATATTATTGATATTACGACATTGATGATGACAACTATGATGATGATGAGGACAGTAACAAAGAGATACAACAAAAGAGAGAGAAAGAGAGGGGAGAGAGAGAGAAAGAGAGATGAGAGTAAAGATATTACTGAATAGTAAACTGACAAAAAAAATGGCTGATGACGAATGTAGAAATGATTAAAATTATAGCAAGTTATCTTCAAACGATGACAAAACAATGGAATTGCTGATGACATGTTACTCAAGATATGATAAGTTTGTAAGGACAAAGATGATGACGACGATGATGATGATGATAATGATGATGACAGTAATTGTGATGGTGATGATGATGATGACGACGATATTGAAAAGGATGGTGATGATTGTGGTGATGAC